TAAATGATATATTTAATTATTTACATTATTTACATTGTTCGGAGTGTTAAAAAGGGTTCTGTTCGAAATTCCAATCACCTGAAGAAGTGAAGAAGGCCGGAGCGTCCAGAGGTCGAAACGTTGTGAATGTGACAATAAAATGAGGACAATTGTCCAAACAATATATATATATATATATATATATATATATATATAAAATAGGAAAGATCTCGTTAGGTAAATAACCCAAAGTTCTTTAGTATTTATGTTATTATTTAAAAAAAAAAAACAGCCTAAATATAATTATTTATTTAAAAATATGATTCCATCGCTACAGAAACATGAGAACTCTTATGTAGCGATGGAATCATATTTTTAAATAGTTATATATATGTGTGTGTGTATGTGTGTGGATGTATGTGTGTGTGTGTGTGTAAAAATTTCAGATAGTAATATCGTCGGCATTATCTCGTATCCATGAAATTTAATTTATTCTTTGCTGATCGCTTCCTTAATGATGATGGCGCTGATGACTACATTCACCGCCGACATGCAGGTTCAGGACTAGAAACCTCCAGTTTCACCAAACCCTACCCCCGTCATGCATTCCCTATCGCCGTTTGGCTATGCAAGATTTGGTTGAATGTAAAAGAAAATCAGACAGTGCCGATGGCGTGAATTTGTTTAAGGTGGACCTCAACTAGCCAGGAAGTGCTCTACACACTTGATTTCATGCCCTTCCTTTGCCCGCCCATATGGAATGAGACATCCAAAATCCGGCCATGAAATTGCCACAGAGTGCCTCTGACATTGTTATAATTTTGTGTGGCGTATTCTGTAGCATGTCCGTCATTCACAGCCCTCTTCTTCCGCTTGTTCCAATGTAGGAGGTCTTTCGGGTGGGTCGCCTGTAGACCTTGTCCTAGTCTTCCACCTTGCCGCCAATGGAGAATGTCTTTAAAAGGACAGTTTATTATTGTTAATAATGCTGTTTTTTTTTTGCGCTCATATATTTTGTAGGCCTTTGGATAAAGTAATAATGATATTGGACGTTTTTGAAAGTAATTTCTATCTATATTTCTTCTTTAGGGCTGCATGAACACAAAAGGGATCTTATACACAACAATTTGTCAAATACATTAGTTATACATAGAAATACATTCAACCACGACTTTGATCTGAAGAATAGCATTCTTATTAAAAGAGAAAGTAACCTGGAAAGAAAATTCTTAAGAGTGCCGTTACTGAATTTTATCAAAATATAAATCTGACTCCCGGACTTTTTCCAATATCTCCATTCCTAAAAGAATTACTCCTTTCTCAAGCCAATATACATGACCATAAAAATGTTAAAAAAATTAACAGAAAACGGTTAAATTCATAACTTCATGTTAATTAAAATATACATAAATTAATACCAAATATTCCAGTCAACTTTGATCTTCAAAAATTTAAATGCAATGTCCATCGTTATCTACAGTCTTCCTGGTTATTCTTCTATTGTTCTCACGTCTTAGTAATGTTTCTGTTTTATCTTCGTGGATTTAATGCTTTGCTTGGGGTGAAATCGACTAAAAAATTTAGTGTGTGTTTTCATTATTAAGACGTTTTTTTATTTGACTTATTAATACCTACAGTTCTATTTTGAGGATGATGGGAATTAGTGGCTTATAGGTAGAAACTAATAATTAATACCTGATTTTTGTTTTATAAAGCCCTTTTTTCTTAAAATGAAATACTTTCACTTCAAGCATTCAAAAACCTATGAAGACAAAAAAAAATAGTAAAGATGAAAGACAATAAAATGAAGAAAATCGAGAAAGGGTTACTGAGGAGAAGGGACAATAAAATGTTTCTCTTTTTTTTCTTATTATTTTTCTACAGTCTTCGTGAATACTCTTCTATTATTCTCACTCCATAATGTTTTCTAATTCACGCCAGTAACTCCTTGTGTCTTAGTTAAACTGCTTTCTTTGAAGTTTTACCATTTTTATATCTCCATTCCAACAAATGTCTCTTTTCTTCTTGGAACGGCATTCACCCGAGGTGGGTTGAGCCGGCTCCAATATTGGAGTTTTATGGGAATTTGGAATTCACAAGCGGTCACCAAACCCGCATGTATAGCACATGAGATTTGATTATAGTGGTGAAGGTTTCGTGCAGGACCAGCCACACTTTTTGAAGGGCCGAATACAGAGACCTGGTGCACTATGTGCCACAAGGTCCCCAAACAACCCTCCGCAGGTTTTGAATTCAGAGTTGTCCTTCTCCTAGACCAGTTGCCATCCAAGTCTATAGAACCCAGTCTGTCCTGCTATTTTACCCATAGCTGGAAGGAGAAGAAGAGGCTTCACACCTTTCCCAAGGGTATTAGCACGAAAGTGAATGTAATGGATTCGACTGGAATTTGAACTCGGCTCTCCGATTCCTCAATCCAAGCCGCTATCCATTACTCTCAACAAATATCTACAAAAACGTTAAAAAATTAAAACAAAACGGCTAAATTCATAGCCACATGTTA